CCAATTAAAATTCTAAAAGGATATTGCATCCACTAGTGGAGAATACATTTCCTCATAATCAACTCCAGAGATTAGGGAAAAGCTCTTGCCTTACAAGTAGTACTACATATCGCACAATCTCATTCATTTTATTTCTGTTTATTACAGACACCCATTTATAACCTATTGGTTTGACGTCTATGGGTGTTTAGACTTCAGGTCCGAAAATATTTCGTTTATCGAGTGACTTATATTCGACTTTCAAGGTCTTTTGCCATTTGACAAATCATTTATGTACTATCTACATGTACTCTTCTTTGAGTTTAGGCATGTAATCTCTTTTATTGATTACATCCATTGCCATAGCATATGCAAGAATATCATTAACACGTGTTTCATTTCGGTTCCATATTGTACAGTCTCGTACATAATTAATAGAGATCTCATTTTCTTTCGGTACCGATGTTTCTTTAGGAAACTTATTCTTCTGGAATCATAATAGTCTCTTCTAGGACATTTACCTTTTCTGGGGTTTCGTTTTCTTCTAGAATAGTATTAGTCTCTTATGGGACAATGTCCTCTTCGGGGGTTGCAGTTCTGATCATGTATGTGGTTTCACTAATAGCATTTTTCTGCTATTTTCATTTTCGTGGGTCCTTATCTTTGGAACCGATTATTCTCCCACTTTCATTGTACAATAGTCACTTTTGGGACTACCTTAAATCGAGCGATGCATAAGATGCTGGTATATGTAACTTTGTCACTCTGCTCGTATATGAGAATGCATCTAGTAATTCATTTGCTCTTCTTTGCAAATCAGACTTCAAAATTACATTGACCACTTCAGGAGTCAAAACTTACAATGATGATGCATTTTATATAATTTCTTGTATTACCAGTCTTTCATTATTCTTGTCTCCCCCTAAGACTGGGAATACTTTGTCATAAAATTGACAATCAAGTTACTTTGTTGTAAATATATCTCCTGTCAAAAACTCTAAACATTTAACAATAGGCGAGGAGTTATAGCCAATGCCAATACACAGTCTTCTACATTATATTGAATGCATTGTAGGGGAGGGGGCATATAAGACACACAATCAAATATTGTCAGAAGGGACAAACTTGTTTCTCATCGAGAGACATCAAGTGTAAGAAATTCAAATTTTGAATATTTGACATTTTATTTATAGGGAAGGATTAATAAAATGAACATGTGTATATATATATAATACATGTGAAGGAGAACTTCAGGTTCTCATATGTTGGAACTACAGGTTCCTTATAATAAGACCATTTTTTTTATGGTTGAGAAAAATATCAAGAATTCACTTCTAACCAAAGTGTTTACAATTGACACATAAAATTCATGATGAGCACTTTATTTGCAAAAATCTTAGTACAATCTTTTTTTCTTGAACTTCAGGTTCACATCTTCTTTAATTGAAGAATATATATATTCTAGCATATGTCATGGAATTTATCTTCCATTCAACTCCTTCAAAAACCTTCCCTTAGTGTCTACTTACCATTGTGGTATCTTGATAATTTATCTGAATTTAAGCCCATTAAGCATCCGCTCGAAATAATTACCACATAAATGAAGATTCAAAATCTAGTATAAAAGGATATGTTCTCATAATCAAAAGTATAGCCACTAATTCAATTCACTTTGCATATTAACTAGAGCTGCAGGCTCTTTTGTGACTAATGATGTTCAACATAACCAATAAATTGTGTCCATAATATAATATATGACAAATAACATAAAGTTACGAGTTAATTGTCAACAAATATGACAAATATAATGATGCATTATATAAAACATATAAATTGTCATCACGAGTAGTTGATGGGCTCAATCAATTATCCTTGAACAATTTCTAAATATGTATGAAATGAATCTCAAGTTTCATTAGTAATAATCTCATAGTAATCTTCTAATGGGAACAAGACTCTAGGATCTTCTGGTCCTAATAATAACAAAAACTTCTAGTCCTTCAGATAGTACTCACTTGAGTTTTAATGATTTTTTTTATCACATCACAAACTAAATCGTGATAATTTAATTGGTTATGTTTAAAATAAAAATTAGTTCAGTAAACTTCTGGTTTATGTGAAAAACAAATCTTGATCGAGTGTCATGTAATATTCAATTCCACTTGTATCTTAAACATTAATAGAGACACCCTAAACAATAAGGGTTTGTCTATACCCAACAGAATATTCGTCAATGCAGGATAATAACTATTTTCTAAAAAATATTCAATATTTATGAGACCTTTATTACTTCTATTATGCAGCTCTTATTATGCAATGCTCTTCTGGAGCTATCTATCAGTTTTGTATAAAAAGAAAATTATATCCACACTAACTTCTTTTATCATAAGAGAAAAGAAGCTCTTACATCTAAAAAATATAATATGCATAATCACTCCTTTGATTATAATATATTAACTACATCATTCTTCAGGAACATCGATGAGGAATCATATATACATTAGAACAAAGGTCTTGAAATATCAAAACATCTCTTTTTAATGAGATTTTTTTTATATACTAAAATCAGCCACTTCAGGTGGTAATTGAATATTATAAGACCTTAGGTAGTATCTCATATACCCATATATTGTGTTTGATGAACATGTTGACTCTTATTTAATTTAGGAGATTATACATCTTAAGAATTTCTTTTCAAAATTCAATGTTCTTCAGGAATATTTAGATTCAAATAGTCATTGTTAAAAAAATGTAATTCTATGTGACCATAATAGTGACTTTGATGTGTCCATATGTATAACCTCAATAGTTGTGATAGTCTATTATATTCATGCAGGTCAATCAATTTTTTCACTCGCTTCAGGGAATGAATATGTAACATGATTTTTTTTTCAAAAAAAATCTTTCCTAACAATGGGAAAAAAATGTAACCAAATATGCGGTATATGAATCTTTTTCTTACACTACCACTTTAGAGGAAATTAGATTCTCGAACACTATTTTGCAATCTCAATTCACATATAACATGCAATTACATATATTGGTCACACAAATTTTATTGCAACTTAGTAATTGACATTAAAATATAATATTATTGCATAAGGAGAGAATGCATTGAACAATGTATTTTAAAAAAAATCATTAGGCCATTTTACTTCTGGAAATAGTAAATACATAAGAAAAGTTTTATTTCTTTATTCTCTTCTAGAGAATATGGACATTTAGAATAAATATCCAATTTGATTCACTTTGGGGACAAAATTTAACACTTTTGTAAAATATAATAATAGTGCCAAAAAAAATTATAAAGTGAATGATCCAAAATTTTGCCTTTATCAAAAATTAGCTAGGGAATCACATAGCATGAGTTGTGTAAACTTTGCAAATATAAAGTATTAAAATGCACATTTTCGTTCCCTCAGCATCAACAACGAAGATAATCCATAATTGCATATTTGAATGCATTTTTTTTCAACATAAAATATGAATGAAGCTACCATTTAACAATGATGCATATCCAAAGTAATAATAATCGTATTTATAATGATGCATATCCAAAGAAATCTAAATGCCATTTCTGTTTATGGTATCTTAATTTACACATACACTAAACTCCTGGATACTTCATTTGATACTTCGTTTGAAAATCCTCTTTTATAAGTCATGAACATACAAAAGTACAAAATATTTATCACTTTTGTGATCTAAGAATAAATATGTATTTTTTTTCACATGAGCACCTATATCCATGCTTGTATACAATCACAGCTTTTAAAAGCAATAGTTCTAAATTTATACGTATATGACCACGGGTCCAACAGTCACAAAAGCATTTCTAGGTCTAACTAGTCAATGTATATGTTCAATAAAACATACTCCAACCGTCTAACCGATATATGATCAACATTCATGATATTACTGTTAGTCAAAATGCAAGGCTAACATCATTTAACTCAAAATATCTAGCAAAGAATGTCTTCATTCAAAATCCAAGAACATATGTACTAATCAATTCTGCCTTAATAAAAAGATTATTTTCAAACATGTATAAATATTGTCATTTACTGTGTACAAATTTATGTTCAGAAAAAGGAGAAAAAAGTGGTTTATAAGATGCAATCTTAATTATTCAAGTTCAGAAGCATTAATCATCTAGTTTCAAAATCTGATTAGACACTCAATGTTAATTAACTACTAAATCAAATACGGAGTAACATACAGTGCTCATTCAATAAAAAGAATGAATTAAACCATTTTAATGTCCAATCAGATTTAAAAGTGTCCTCTAATCTATATTTTTGTTTGCAATTTCAAGCAATTAAACATACAATTTTAAAATGCAAAGATGCTGAAATTTTGAAATACCTGGACCGTGTGAGAAGAAAATTACTTGAATCGAATTAGTGACCAAGGAGACATATATTCTCACATCGTTAGAGAATTCAATCCAATTTTGGATTTTGGAGCTATCATATGCTGGAACCATCACTCGGCGTGTTTGGCACCGGCAAAGGAATCAGGGCGGCTGAAAATGAATAGATCTAATCTGCATCGAACTTTTAAGCCGAATCGATCTCACGTGAAGAAGAAGACAAGCTACACGGTGGATCACGGCAGGCTCGATTGGCGAAGATAAAACTTTCCGGCAATGATTCCCGGCGACGTCCGGCGAATTCCTCCTCTGGCGCAGCTTCCTCTCTGGTCCTATGCTCGACCGGCAAAGAGGAACGAAGAAGATTGATGAATCGTGATGATGGTGATGTAGGTTTCCGGCAATCTCCCTGACTTATTTGATTTCCTCGTTCGGCAAGAGGAAGGAAGACGAAGGAGGCGTCGATGTGGCCTGAGGCTGCGGAGGAGGAAAAATAAAAAAATTAGGGTTTAGCGGCGCTGATAAGGTGTTGTGAACTGAGTACTTTATTCATGATATGTCGGGGTATTTATACAGGAGGAGGTAAAGTCTAGGTAAACAAGGTAACCAGATATTCTATAAAATAAGAGTAATATATCTGAATATTTAAGGGTGGGTAATGTTCTTCAGTTCTTGCTTCATTCATACGGAGTTGTGCCCGTGAGACTGTGACTGTCCATGGCCGCTTTCTCATATCCATCCCTCTCGTGGTGCTCTGCATCTGTTCCAATTTCGTCATCCACCTCCCGATATTCTTCGTGTCTGTACCCGGTTAATGCTCAATCGCATCATATAAATTCACAATCAGGTTGCGCAAGGGTCCATGCCAAGTTTGAGAAGTTCCAAGGGCAGGAAAATCGCGGTCAGGACTTCTCTGAGCGAAATTCGTTAGTCTCACAATCGCATCCAAGTCCAGACGAAGAAGACGAAGATGACAGGTGTTTTTTCAAGGTTTCTTATTGTGCTTTACCTTGTTGCCCGCTCATAAAGCTTACATGACCATGAACAATCAATTGCAAGCTACCACTAAACTAATAGATCAATCAAATCAAATGTTAGGGTATGTTGCTGTTAGAAATGTGTTTGCTGCCAAACAATTTGTTCTGCTCCAAAATTCAACGGAGGAACCAGAATGAGAAATAATATACTTCAAGGCTGTAATTAAAGAGAGAGAGAGGACAAAGTGAATGTTACTGCCACTTTATAATTGAAAGGAAGATTTGAATTGCAACCTTTTCAATTTCAATTTGTGGAAGAACCCAATGCACCAAAACTCCAGTGAGCAAGGAAAACTAAAATTGGGTTCTGCTCTACAAAATGAATTAGCAGTGAAAATCCCAACTTGTCCAAAAATAAATTCAAGGCAGGTCACAACAAATTAGAACAAAGACCAAATCTGCCTTATTGCTCCTCCAATTAGCACGAAGAACAAAACCCCAGGGACTTCTTGCGCCTGAAACAGAACCAAAAACAAGGAGAGAGCAAAGCACCGTGCCGTGGACTAAAACCACTACCTTAGAAACGATTTCGCCTTCACACGTGCGGTTGATACAAGGTGTCGTCCCCCAAGGTTAACACGGAAGCCGACCTCTGTGCGCACCCACAGAAGGCGTAGGGAACCATACTGATTTTATGTTCAGCAAAGATGAAAGGGATTTACAGAGAGTTTTGCAAAGGGGAAGGGGAAATGCAGATGATTTTTTCTGAAATATTTTTCCTAATTTTCTGTGTGTTTCTTTCTGGAGCGTGTAGAATAAATAGATTTAAGGGGAGCAGCAGTTTCAACCGAACTAAGAAGGAAAGATATCCAGTAGAGTCACAAAGACCGGATCTCATTTTGAATGGCTCAACAAACTTGGAAGAGAGATGAGCTGACCAAGTAAACTCCAAAAATAAATGATAAAGATTTAAAATTAAAGGAATTGGTCAAAAGAAATAGTCCACATAATCCTTGCATTATCCAACAGCTGCATTACTCGTATTATTCTTTGCCAGAAAGTAAATTGCTCAGGTTATAATATGAAGTATGATCAGTTTTAGTCTTTTAGACTTTACTAAGCTTGCATTCAAACTTCAATGAAGTTTGTTGAACAAAATGCATTTTAATTGAGAATAATTTTATTAGAGTGGTAATTGGCTCGTTTAATAGGTAAATGGGATCAATACGGGGAGGAGATATGGCGAATTCATATTTTTATCTCAGTTTTACAGCTTACCTTTTAGTAGTTACTGATTGTATTCCAGATTGTTAAAGCATGTATTCAAACTTCATTTTGACGCATGAGTTGCATAGAATCTTTATGAAGCATGTTCATTCAAGTTGGCTGTTGGAGTCTATGCGAATTGATAGTTGTCTTTGAAATTCCTTTTTCCCTTTCTAGTGTTTCAGTGTTCCTTTTGTTTGAAAAAGGGTCTCTTGGAAATAGTCGCTCTACTTTTTAAGTGAGGAATGATCTGTGTACACTCACCCCTCCCCAGACCCACTCTATGAGATTTTAGTGGTTTTGTTGTTGCTTTTGTTGTATAAGAGGAGGATATGTATATATATATATATATATATATATATATATATATATATATATATATATATATATATATATATATATATATATATATCAGAGATATCAAAATTTCCTAAAATTTGACTAGATTCTAAAGAGAAGTTTTTAAATGTCTGAAACAAATAGCTGTTCTCCCCTTAGTTATACAGTAATTTGCATTACAAAGGGTGATGCCATGTATAGAAATCAATTTTTATTGATTCATTGTTGCACACATTTCAAAGTCTTTCATCTGTGAATCCCATTCTACAATGGAGTTGATGTTGGAACGTTGGAATCAATTTCAATAAATGAGTCAGATATTTGATATGGTTGACTACTGCAATAATCTGTGGTTCAATACCTTAGAAAATTTAGAGCCAAGGACATAAATATTTTATTCATAACATAAATTTTCTAACATGATGGTGGACTAAAAATGTCATTAGGTTTTCACCTTAACATTTTTATGCCTTGCAACAACAATAAGCTCTACACCCCAACTTTGTTGGGTCTAGAGGTCAAGATTTCGCAACCTCATCTCTCTAAAAAACAAAGAGGCTTTTCCTATTAAAGCCTAGATGCATTTATTGCCCAAGACTTCATACTCATAAAACGAGCAAGGTTAAATTTAATGTGTCATTTTGATTCAGTCAATTATTTACCTAAAATTAAAATGTTGTCAAGGTTACTCTTTTATGTTTTAGCTCCATTTATGCCTTGCAGTTTATCCTAAATTATATCAATGTCAGTAAGATATTACTCTGTATATGACATAGCTATGTTTTTTTTATAAATATTTACAGTTGCTTACCTAGTGGTTTGGAAGGTGCCATTCAACAGTCTGCTCATGCAAGTGCAACTTTTGTGTCTTCTGGGGGAATGAGGGCCATAGTACGTACTGGAAGTTAATGTTATAATGAATTGGGTGGTATGCACTTTGCAGGTTCAGTTAGCGAAAGAAAGCTGGAGTGTATATTCTCTTTAGTCATATTCTTGAATAAATCGTATAATTTTACTCTCATAATCATCATTCTCATCCTCATCCTCATCATTTCTTTTTGAAGAAGTAAAAAATTATTTATTCCGTGTGTAAATTGGTTTGTATTGTTTTTTCATAATTGTCTCTGGTTAAATGTTAATTTAGTTAAAAATGGTTTCTGGCCAATAATGCACCTCAAAGCTGAAAAGCTGAAGTTCGACTAATTGTCATTTCCAACCACAATTTTTATGTGGTACATTTATTTTCGTCCTCAGGTTGAGCTTCTAATACCTCAGTTGCAATTTCTTGATGATGCGGGTGCACAAGCTGAACTCTGGGAACTATCTAGGAAGTTTTTGATAACATTAGCCGAAGAAACAGGAAACCAGGTTCCCCAGCATTATCTAATATTAATATGAATCCTAATCTGTGGATACACTGTACATGCCCACACAGTCTCACATATCTAATACCAGAGAGTTGAGTTATCTTCTTCGTGTATATATGATCATGATTCTATTGAAGAACTTTTTTTTCTCATTTGAATTGCTGCTGATTAAATTTGAAATTAAAGCCTTTTGTTGTTTTTACTTAACTTTCCTATTCGTAACATTTGAATCTCCTGTTGATAGAGAGTTAAAGCCATATTTCCAGATGCTGGAGCAACTGCACTCCTGAGGCATCAGTGGCAAGATTCTGCTTTTGGTTTTTCTAGGTAACTTAATTATGCATGTGACTATGTGAGTTATAAAGTTATTATTGCTTGTCTTACAAGTATTCTGCTATGGCTATACAACAAATGGAGCTTATGTGTTAACTTCATTTAACTTTCACTCACTAATTGCTGTCTCCTAAACACATTAACCATTAGCCATTCTTGTATCTTTTTTTATTTTTATGTTTTTTTAATACCATCTCTTCTTGTTATTTGACATTTAAAATGCTCTAGTCTTGGTGACCGGAATCCAGTTGACAAAGAAGATAAAATTGTTGTCATGGTTGTTCCTGATTATCAAATGTTGGGATATGTTGAAAGAATTGCCTCTAATCTGTCAGATGATTTGGTACATACTTTCCATTTTTGGCTCTCTCTTTTTTTCGCTTTTATATGCTCTTCTTAATTAAATTCTGAACCCACTTATCTTGTTTACATGCATACATTCCAAATTTTACCATCAACAACTTGCACACAAGGCCCTTGTAGAGCTTAAAGTAGTTTGCCATTGTATTTTATCACTTTACCTTAATATCATTCATCTTAATTGGACTCTAAATTTCATTTGCAGCTCATCGAAATAAGAATATGTTTATTAAGCAAATCAGCACATTTGTAGATAATTTGTGGTTGATTTGTTAGCCTAGGCCTCTAATCATGTGGAATCCACGCCTTGTTAGCCAAGATGTTGGTGTTGGTATCAATGTGCGCAGATTGAGGCGCAACTTCTTAAGGTAACTTTTGAATATTTTGATGACACCATAATACTATTTCATCACGTTGAAATAGTTATAAATATACTATAATATTAGGAGGCTAGCAAGTGGCGTTAGCCGTTAGTAGACCCCCTCGCTAGATAGCAGAAATACAAATAATAGAAACTAGTATTAATAAGTGATAGTAATAAGAATTGTAATACTTGTGATATGTGAATTGATACAAGGTATGAGAAGCACAGACCATTATATAGGCGTAAGACGCAGCTTATGAAGGTGCTACAAACGTGCTTGGGAAGGTGCTAGGAAAATGGTGTCTGTGACAGTGTGATTGAGTTGCAAAGTATACTCAAATCCTAATATTTCAACAATCACATGCATAGATCTAAGAGAAAATAAGCTTTCTTCTGGAGTACAGCGTGTTTGGAGCTTTTAGAGTGGTTGTGGTTGTGAGTGATGAGTTTAAAATGGTATTGTTTGGTGCAAACAAGCATGGAAAATTGCAACTCTATTTAAATAATTTTATTTAAGAAATAACGTTTTATGGTGAGAATTAAGTAAGAGAAATATATTACATACTATAATTTGGTTTCTTGAAGAGACCTTATCAGAAGCCAGTCTTTGAAGAGGTTTAAAGGTTGCCATGTCAACCCTCAACTTCTCATCCCACATGCTCTTTGGTTTGCATCTCCTCTTTATCCCCTCAACCATACTCTCACCCCTAATGATTCTTCTTGTCATATTTTTGCTACAGACTGGTTGAAACTCATCTTCTTTACCTTTATGGCTTTATCCCCTATAGGAGTTTTTGGTTCTTCAAAAATTCTGTACTGATGACCACTTCCTTTGGCTTCCAAACAAAGCATTTTCCAGGTGCTTTTGTGACCTTGTTACCATCAAACTTATTTATGATTCTTCTTGGGCCTTCCTCTGTCTTCCTCCTTGCATGTAGCCCCGTCATGCCTTAACATTTGGAACTTAGAAGAGGGTAATTGTTTCCATTCATTCAAGGCTTTTTGACTCGTGACTCTTCTATTTTTGTCAACACAACTTCCTCAGGAGACTCGTGATTCATATGCACCGCAACCATCAATCTAGCATACCCAACTAACCCACGTATAGTGCGACTGGCAGTGGCTCTATCAGCCTTTACCGGTTTCCCAATCAGACTCCCTATTTTACTCAAACCACTTAAGCTCCAAAATCTGGTAATCAGATCTGGAAGTTGGACCCATATAGGAAAGTGTGAGAGATTTTGGATATCATCGACATCCCAGATTTCCAATTTTTAAGAAACACGGGTTTATTATCAAAACAATAACACCTTCATTTAATCACCTCATCCCTATCTTCTATCTGCGCAAATTGGACCACAAATTTTCATTCCTTTAGTGCAGAAATTGTCCATGGCATAGTGTTTCCAAAATCGTTTAAAGAATTCCTCAACCACTTCCAAGTGATGGTTAGCCCCCAGTATTCAACACACAATAGCTGAATCCCAATAATTCATGGTTGACAACATATCATCTTTTATAGCTAGCTTCAAACCTCCTCAGCAGGCTGGTAAGTGAGAGCACAATCCACAGATCCATCTGATACCACATCCACAAATGATCTCGACGGCTGAATCAGTAGCGATTGCGGATCTATGATCACATTTTCTTCAGTTTCACCTCTGCCAAATCCTGGTTTTGGTATTCCAAGCTTGTTCCCATCCACCAGGTTTATTGATTCCAATTTTCACGTCTAGAATCCTTTGGAGTATGTTAATTTTCATCTTTCTTCCTTGATTTCCCCTTTTGTCTTTTCATTACAGAGTTTTATAGAGATTTTTTTGCTATGTATTTTTTTACCAAAATTTAATGATTTTTTTAAAAATGTTTTCCATGTTAGGCAATGTTTGCTATTATCTTATACTCCGTACATTGTACTTACTATCATCAGTGTGTTATGATTTGATTGCTGGTTTTGATTATGAAGTTGCTTGAGCTTTAATGAATATTTTAAAGTAAATATCAATATACTTTTTTGTAAATTTGAATTAACAATATGAGGCTTAGACCTCAATGGTTCATGTTTATGCCTTGCCTCACTTGGCCAAGTTGTCCTAAACTAAGTTTTTCAGATTCAACTACCTCCGTCCAAAAAAACCTTTTTTGTCAAATTTTTCCATAAGCTTTAAGCATCCCCCCCTCTTTACTACCTCCTGATTGCTTACCATAATTCTTTCCACATTATGCACCTTAAACATATATGTTCACATTATACCTTTTATTAGTGCTTCTGCTTTCCAAAATGTACATGATTATGTTTTATGAAATACTCCAATGTCCCAAATTAAACCTCTCCTTTGATTTTCTATGAAGTTTAGAAAAGATAAAAATGTGTGGTCGAGATTTATGCACATGCAGAACATAGAATTATTCTGAACCATTAAATGCTCTCATTAAAAGGGATGGGGAGTTTACTTTGGTACAAACCAAAAAAGAAAGAGATAAGTTATTTTGGGGCGTAGTAATATTTTCAAAAGTTCTTTATATGTTTACATTGAACTTTATGAAATTTAATACATAAAACAAACACATACTTCCTCTGTCCCGGTTTGATTTGGACTATGAATTCACGTAGTTTAAGAAAAATGTTGAAAAGTAAAAAATGAGTTCTTGAAAGTTCTTTAGAAGAAAGAGAAGAAACATGTGCCACATATCCTTTGATTTATTAGGAATGTAAAGAAGTGTAATTTGTTTTGGGACAACCCAAAAACAATAGTGTATCAATTAATTCAAGATAGAGGAAGTGTGCCTTATAACAAAAATAAGGAAATGACAGTCACCGTCATCATTTTGAAAAGAGTTACACTATGTTTGGTTTAGGGAGCTTGGATGGAAAAGAAAAGAAAATGGTTTTCTCTCATTTTCCTCACCAAAATGGGAGGCATTCCTCATCTTAGTATATTTTGCCTTCTCATTTTCGTTTCCTTCCACTTTTCTATTCTTTTCCTCTCCTAACCAAACAAGAAAAATTGCTTTCCATCCCATTTTCTTTTCTTTTCTCTTTCAAATTCCTTGAACCAAACATAGTGTTAAGGTCTTACATGTCGTAAATCTTGATGAAATTTCTATTAATATAAATTAGTCGATAGAGTCTAGTGAAGGTCTTTTCCTATTTGATATTTCAACTTCTGTGGTAAGTATCAATTCTTTTTTATGCATGATGTCACACCTGTTCATTCTAGTAGTATAATTAATGGCTTGAGAAGATCCTCATAATCTCCACTAACAGATTTGATGCTGTGCACATGCTTAATAATTGTTGGCTGCTGCATGTAATCATGCCTCATGTTTTTTATGCTTATTTCTTACTGTCTTTAAGAGCATTTTTAGGAATGAATATTTGTTTCCATAGAAATTTAGGGTATTTTATTTTATCTTGTTTGCAGGCTATCATAACTGCATATCGTTATGCCCTATAAGTATTAACTGTCAAGATTTATAATGCAGCACCTTCACAGTTGTTTACTCAATGAGACCTCTTCCATCTGGAGCTGTCTTTAGATGTTATCCAGGGTAAGGACTAATACTACCTACTTGTTACGAATAGATTTGGCAGATTTAACTCATTTAAGTGGCAGCTGCTGGTTTCCTGGTGATTTAAGCTGAGTTAGAATTCTTGACCCAATTAGCTACCACATTTCTCCATTATGGTTTTATGACATGCCTTGGTGCACCGGTTGTGGTGTTGTCGTTTGACCTTAAGATGAAGTGTAAGGAGATAGGCATTCAGTGACGATGAGGATGTTGGTGCTGGCCCCGAGTACAGACGCACCCACAATATCAACATGATTGTGGGAGGCAACATCGGGGAGACTCTTACTTGAGGAAGAAATGGGTCCGGGCAATTTGCATATAGGATATGAGCACTCCTGTCCCATAAAAAAACAAAAAGTCAAGAACCTATTGATTATACCGTTTGTGGCTTGACCGAATGTATCACACCCTTATAGTGAGACCCTTCTCAGACCCTTGCTTGGCAGGGATGCCTTTGCTCATCAGGCTGCTCTTTGTACTGTTTTGTTTTGACATTTTTTCATCCATATCTCGGTATTATTATCTATCTCCAAGCTGTGCATAAAATAGAAGAACTCTTTATAAGTAGTTTGAGAATTAATGGATGCTTATCGACTTTCTCTCTATTTCCCTGCAAGCCAGATTGTGGAAGGTGTTCTATGATGATAAGTTTCGGCCAAACCGTTATCTCCTTGCCAAGGAACAGATTAGATGCCCCACTTCTGATGAACTTGAGGTTAGATGCTCTTATCTCTTGTACTATCAAACTAAACATGTTATCAAGAACATTACGATCTTACAAATTTTGGAGGGGTGGCATAAAAGTTTAGGTGTTGTTTTGTTCACCCTTTTTTGTTTTTATTCATTCTTATTTTAATCCAATAAGACAATGCTATATCAAACGAAAACCATTTAGTTCAGACAAGAGGAACTAAAAAGTATCAAACTAGAGGCCAGATGTTATATTTCAGACCTGGAAAATTCCTCAAGATCAAAATAATTATTCAGTTCAGATCACATTTCAGACGAAGAGTACATGCCATTAGTCAATATGTTTCTAGGAGAAATGGGAAGAATAAACAAACTCTGAGCCAGGTGCAAAAAACAATACAAACTAAGAATGCATTTACTTGTGACCCAAACTCTGGAGGTGAGGTAGGGACTCAGTAGCACATACATTGTCACTGCACACTAACAAATTTCTAATTATTGCATGTGTGATTTTCCCCATTAAAAAAATAACATCACCTTTTTTTTCTCAGTTTTGCAATTCATGCATCAAGAAAGATTCATTTTCACTTTTCACAACACCAGTTCCTTGCACTTTTTTTTCTATTTGATATATTGTTCAAATTTCTGCATTGAGAGTCTCATACTTTTTTTCGCTATCTGTGATTCACTTGATTGCACGAGGGCAATATTCCCACTTTTCGTACCGTTGGAAAAATTTACAACTGTCCACCTGCAAGTGCACATACAAAATTGCACTTCCTGTCTCTGTTAAGCAAACAAATACGTAGTATAAGATTGAACACTGGCTAATGATTGCTGCAGAATTAGTATTTCAGTTTGGGGGAATTGAGGGAAAAAGGGATGGGCTTATTTGGGGAGTTTTGGTGATAAAAAGGGGAAAAGACATAATTGTGGTGCGGAGGTTTGCTTTGAGATGGAAATATGTAAATAATGTGATTTTTTTAAGGGAGAAATGGTGTAAAATCATGAAAAGTCAAATAATTACAATCTGTTTTACTGTACAGTGACAATGGCTTACTGCATGTGCTGCTGAGTACCCCACAGTTTGTACCACATAATTTGATAAATGTTTAGTTCGAGCTGTTTATTGCACCTGACCCATTATGTTATTCTTCCCTATTTTCCTACATTTGTAAGGAAGTTGTATTTAATCAATTTACAGGATTTGTTGCATTTAAACTGCGTGCTATGGAATGAGAAACATTTTCTTACCATTCTCTCCATCTCTTTTTTTTAAGGCACTTGGGGTGTGTTCTGAACTTGAGACCTTGTGCTTATAGTTCCTGCATAAACACATGACCTTTTTTTCCACTTTTGTTACACAAGATCTTGCAAGACTTTGTTTCCTCACATTTGGAGAATTTATGCTTCAAATAAATGTTAGAGATCATCAAACGCCATACTATTTGGTGTATATGTCTAATGCAAGGATGCCAATTGACCATTTTCACTACAAACAACGTGTATATGCTGAAATAAGGTGTAACAAATCTGAACGAAGGGGGGTGCTAGAGGTATACTAAGTTTGCACACCAAGTGTATCGCAGGCACACAGACAACAATTGTCTGTCCGCCGCACATACAATTGTTGTCCGGGTGTGTCTGATACACATGGTGTGCAAATTGGGGTACAAACTTGGTGTACCCCCTAGCTTTTTTCCTGAACTAATGTTAGAGTTGTGAACAAATACATCTTGCATTACTATGAGAGTACATTGAGTACAGTACAAATTTACATCGCCATTAGGATTAAGGTGCGGGATGATTATCATACACATGTGGTTAAGATTGATGGTATAGTGAATCATTGACATGCTTTTCTGGTTTTGTTTTTTGTTAACAAAATATATGCAGATAATATTTGGAGATGTAGATGATAAGCAAGAGAAGGGTACATCTCTCTTAGATCAAGCAGCTGCATTTGTGTCTTCCATTACCGGTTTCTTGAAAGTGATTTCAAGATAAGTTAGTTTTATCAAGCAGTCGGAATCTTGTTTTTCTCATACTAGAGCCATACTTGCATAGCATTTTAATTTTTATATTGTTCAATTTATCTATATATATATAATATTCCTCTTTCTACTTATGAGAAATACTTTTGTGGCTCATATCTTTTCACTCATTTGCATGACTTTCAACCATACAAATTTATTTTTCTTAAACATTGTGGCAAACAAAATATGGACTAGTAATTTGGGATGGAGGTGGTATTATGTACGGAATAATTTTTTTTATCTCCCCATCTCCCTCTCTCTCTCTCTCTCATCAACAAACTATTCTGGAAGGGACGACCTAAGCAAGTACGTGGTTACTGAGCCCAATGCAAACGTAAGAACTGAGTCGGGTTCATATTCAACGCGCGAAGTTGTGAAGACAAGTTATTAGCACGACGAACCTCTAGGAAAAGGGACTGATAGTGAAACGTTGACTGTTGACGAGCCAACTTAAAGCTATCGCTACTAGGATCGATATGAGGAACTGACTTAGGCCTGATCAGAAGGTACAATTGTAAATTCATACCAAACTATTGGCACCATGAATCACCAAAAACAATTGACTAAACTTTACCAGAGAATACTCACTCGAGTGGAGTAGTCTCCTAGGACAATCGGAACCTCAACGAGGGAGCCCTTTAGAGACAAAGTGTTGTCAATGACCTCTTCGTTGATCCCAGTAGATGTGTGAGTTCTAAGTAATTGAAACCCAATTGTCGAACCAACATCAAGAACTAGTTGTGTGCGTTTGAGCGGTGTATACTACTCGACTCTCATTCTTATCTATCAGCACAGACATGATTGATGTGCATCATTATTAGAATGTGCGTAAGTGTGAAACTGTTAGGAATGAATGTCTAGATAGACACTTTGACAAACGAGGTGGACCAAAATCTGCTCTAATTTCATGATAGAATTTTTAGAATGAGATAGGGATCACTGGACTAAGTCATAAGATATTTGGGTTGGACTATATTAAAAGATTGGATCCAACCGATTAACCAATTTAACTCAAGACCTTATATATAGTTATATACCTATTAATTTCTCCTTACTTTTCAGATGTGGGGACTCTCAGGGAAAATATTGCCGATATTGATTTCTTATATCTAGCCACATATCCTTGACGAAGGTTTCTTCTTCTATCACACCATCTTTCCCCGAGCAAGCGTGGCAGGACTTAAGGAAATTTTAGAGATTTGAATTTCTTAAAAGACATAATTTATATAACGCTCTAGAAACTAACCTAAGAGTTAGCAATTTTTTAAATAAATAAAATTTTTTTTGGATATCTATTTATTTTAAATAACTAATTATTGCGGTTTTGATTATTTTAATTTATTTTAATAAATGAGTATACAATGGTTTACTTAACTAGTACGGAGTTTATCAATATCAATTAATTGGAACGAATGAATTAACATCTAAGATGAGCCATGAATTTAGGTAAAAAAACAAAAGTAAGAGTAAAATATTAAAAATATACTAAAATAGAACTTTCATGTTTTTTATTCTCAAAATAGAAGTTAAAATGTATTTAGATTACCAAACCTGGTCATGTACACTACCTAGTAATGTGCATGACCATGTTAATAAATATATTACCAAGGTCAATGCCCATGACAAAAAAGTATAGTAATGTGCATAACAAAACAGTATAATAATGTGCATTACTAAAACATATTACTATGCTTTTTGTTAATGTACATGATCATGTTTGGTACTGTAAATGTATTTTAAATCTTATTTCGAGAATAAAAACATAAAAGTCTTATTTTGATATATTCTCAATGTTTTACTTCTACTTTTGTCTTTTTTCCAATATAATTTTATTAAAAGGTATTTTGGGGTGTGTTTTATTTGGGATCAGACTTGCTAATAAATTACATAGCACCCCCTTTTTCTCCGCAAATTATACTGTACATCCGGCTGTACGGTTAGAACCGTACAGCCGGCTTAAATCCCTAAGGATCCCGGCGAGAGATAGGACGGAAAATTGATGTCCTTAAAAGAATCGCCTACCCACCTCTACCGGGCCTCTGTTCGTGCTCGTTGGAGAAGACGCAGAAGCCGCCGATGAAGGGATGCTAGTTCCTGTGCTTTCTAATTGTCGGGTCATGGATCCATTTGAGTTCTAATTGCTGGAGAGGAAGCAGGTGGAAATGGCGGCTTAAGGTACGTGGAAGTAGTACAAACTCTAGGGATAGAACTACCTGTAATGATCAACCGATAGTGGAATGAACAATTACTTTAGTTCACAATGAGCACTACCTTATTTGAGAATGAGCACTAATTTGTTTAAGAATGAACATTACTTGATTCGTAGCTGAAAATTATGATTGTATTAAACAAATGTGTGAAAATGAGTATTACATTACTTCAGAATGAGTATTTTGTTATTTCAGAATGAGCATCACACTATTTCAAAACCAATTTATGTTGATACGAGAATGTGTACTATTTTATTTTAGAATGAGTACTACCCGGATGTACCTATTTTTAGGTACATCCGGATGTACCATATACACCTCTCTTTTTTCTCTTTGTGTCCTAAACATATTTATTGGTTTATACTACTCCTAACATATATTGCTCCCCCC